CCCCACTTCCTTGTCCATTTCCACCGGCAACCACTTGGCCACTCGTCGCACCCCATTTCCATTCCACAATACGGTGATTCGACCATTCAGCGACATAGATTGTTTGATCATCATCCACATACAAACCGCATGGGTGGTAGAGTTGATTTATTCCATTGCCATATCCATTTCCTCCAGCCACAGTGAGACCATTCTGTTGCCATTGAGCATTTGGATGAATGTCAATCGATTGTGACAATACCGAAACCAACGGAAACTTTGCAGCATGATTGAACATCGCTAAACAGACCGTTAAAAGCATCCGATAGATACAATGAAGTATGGGAAGTTTGAAATAAACAATTGTCGCTCTTTCTGTTCTATTTTAAACACCTCTGTTATCATCGAGTATGGAAACCTTGAGAAGTTCGTCCGATCGTAGACTCATTTTTGGGATCTCGCGCATATTTCTATTGCTCAAAATCTATCACAAGCGGAATCACCTGCACGATGCAATTTTGAGTGCTCATAACTCATCGAACTTTAACTTACGCGATGAGAGAATAACATATAGAATAACTATCTTTGATTACTCGTTGCAATCGTGAATACTCGAAACATTTCTCATGTCTGAATTTCGAGAGATTCCTTGTTGTTATTCATTAATGCTACGGAACCGATTAATCTTGGTCATATTTTGTTCATTTTTTAGAAAAGTATTTATGAATTAGTGCTTATAACTATGACTGAAATCAGATCGCACTTCTGATGAAATATTTATTGAATGATGAGATAGTTTTTGTTAGCTTAAAATATTTATTCTGATTGTATAAATAAACCATCCCGATGAAAAACTGTAACAGAATGAATCTTAAATCTTTTTGCTTCTGTTAATGATGCGAGAAACATAATAGCTTGGGTAGCAGGACTGTTGTGTGTAAAACAATTGTGTGTAAGACAGTTATGTGCAGACAATTGTGTATGGACAATTGTGTGCAAGGAAATTGTGTGAACAGACAATTGTGTGTTAGATGTTTGTGTGCAGATAATTGTGTGCAAAATGAGTGTGTGTATGTGCAAATAAATATTTTTGTCAAAAAAAAGTGAAAGACAATGAAGGAAAAAAGTAAACAAAATAACAAAGATTAATCAAATACATCGCCAGTATATTTTATTTTCATGAGCACGTTCTTGAATGTAATCAAAACCGTTCTCAATCAGAACTGGCTTGCCTTTTTCAGTTTCAGAAAATAAAATTGACATGATGTGTTCGTACTTTCAAGGTGATCTATATGATAGTGAATTTTAAATGACTGTAAATCGATATCTTCTATTATTCTCACTCGTTTAAATACTTTCAAGGAAAATTGATCGACGTCCATACACATTACCGTCCGTTCTCATAAGTGTCTTATACACAACTGTCTGTTCTCATAACTGTCTTACACACAATGACCTCTTCTCATAATTGTCTTACACACAACTGTCTGTTCTCATAATTGTTTTTCACACAATGTCTGCACACAATTGTCTTACACACAACAGTGATAGACCCAATAGCTTGATGAACGACTGGTTCTGTCAGTTAAGATTAGAGGTCTGCAGAGTCACATTTTTTCTTTACTCTAACTTCACTTCTACCTGAAAAATTCATCAAGATTCCGACTTGTAAAAATTCCGAAATACCTTTTTGTAAATTAATGATAGCCTACTTGTGCGGAAATATTATAGGACTTAAGTTCATAGCACTATTACAAATTAAATTTTATTTCAGAGTATTGTGAGCGAACGGACAAGTATCTTGCGTATGAGAGAGAAGAATTAAAGTCGATTGAACGTCAAATTCTATTATCGATCAAATCTATTTGTAATGAGTACTAATAGCATGTCATGGGAAGATATTTTAAACTTAATTAAAAACCAGTCGACTATGTCAAACTATTACGTGAATCAAATACAAAACATAGGTCAAAGCTCGCGATAACTTCCACGACATTTTCATGAACGCTACATTCTTACGAAAAACAGTTTTATTCAGACAATTTGGGAAATCAAGAAGAGCTTATCAAAAAAATCTAATTTTATCCAACATCAATAATGCGTGAACATTGAAGTAAAACATTTATTTGAAAAGTGCGTGAGGATGAAAGCACATGTAACCACATCACCGAAGATATCGAGTGGTACTGAACTTTTCTCTAAACTAGTCATTTTTGGTAACTATCCCGATGTAGATGTTTTTTGTCTTTTTACAATTTTCCCGTTTCATGCTATTTTCTTTTTCGATTGAAAGTTTTCGCCAACTGGATTTTACAATTCCGACTATGGCTAACACTTAGTTCGAGTCGGCGTTGATCCCAGTTATAAAAATTTCGAAAAACTTACACTGAACATGGTCGTGAATGTTACTCGTCGTTTTAGCAACAGCTACGGAAACAAATCATGACACACATATAGACTAACATCCACCACAACACTCCGCTCAGACACCCACACGGACGTCTCTTTAGCAGTTCATTCTCCAGGAGACATACACATTTCATCCATCAAGATCTACTCTAAATAGCCTATGCATTTGAATTGTCATTGAATTTGTGTACTTGATGATTTCCGCACTCGACGGCATAGAGATTGCCGTGTCGATCGAATGACAAACCGATGGGCTCATAGAGTTGGTTGGATTGTCCTCCTCTACCGTTTCCACCAACAATGACACTTCCCTGTGTGGCTCCTTTGGGCCAACGCATGATGCGATCATTCCCTGCATCAGCCACATAGACAGTGCCCAATTGATCGACAACGACTCCTTGAGGATAATACAATTGTCTAAGATCATTTCCTTGTCCTTGACCACCAGCCACGACAGTGCCTTGTTTTGCACCTTCCACCCATTTCATCACACGATCATTTCCATACTCAGACACGTATACTGAATGATCTCGATCGACGAATACGTATCGTGGGTCAGAGAGTTGATCGAGACGATTTCCACTTCCATTGCCACCTGCAACCACTGTTCCTTGAGATTCTCCTCTTCGATATCGTCTCACTTCACCTTTTCCATTGTCAGTGACATAGAGAGATCCATTCTCGTCCATTGTCAAACCCACACAATCGATGTTCGAGATGATTGTTTCTCCACTTGTCCCATTTCGACGAGGCCATCGAACCACTCTTCTATTCGAACGATCGCAGATGATGAGACTATCTCTCTCTTTGTCGACAATCACATCTTGTGGGTAAGACAACTGGTGAGCCCCACTTCCTTGTCCATTTCCACCGGCAACCACTTGGCCACTCGTCGCACCCCATTTCCATTCCACAATACGATGATTCGACCAATCAGCGACATACACAGTTTGATCATCATCAACATACAAACCCCATGGGTCAGAGAGTTGATTGATTCCATTGCCTTGTCGATTTCCTCCAGCCACAGTGATACTATTCTGTTGCCATCGAGCATTCGGATGAATGTTGGTTCTGGACGGAGAACGTAATGGGTAGTCTGAAATAGAGACAGAAACTTTGTCTGTTCATGAAAATAGGATTTGTTACAAGACGAGAAATGTTTTTTAGTCAAATTCTCAACTTTGTTAACAACGATTGTTTTGTTTTAACTGTTTTGTTGGATTCAAAATTATTCATCGCAATATTTTCGGTTAACCACCCATTATTCCTTTGTTTTGCTCTCTAATACAATCTTTCTCATTCTTGTGTTCCAGTTCAAATGCATAAGACTCTTAGACAAGTGACAGTGATAGAACATCACTGATATCTTATTTGAGCATAAATTACGATATAGTATGTATGAATGCTTATGATCGATTTTCAAGTAGAATAAAAAAAGGAGAATTGTTTGATTGAAAACTCAATATTTGCTGTTTAGACAGTACTGAGTTATAGGCTTATCTATTAAAGCTGTGCACCAGGGGTGTCAGCGTTCCCCGTTCCTCAGCGTTCCGTTCCCAGGAACGGGAACGCATCTCAAAGTCGCATTTTCCAGCTTTATTTCAACATGGTGAGGTATCTAGATGTGTTCGCTTGCTTTTTTATCTTTGGGTGTTCCGCGTTCCCGTTCTTAGGAACGGGGAACGCTACCACGTTCCCGTTCCCAGGAATGGGGAACGCTATTGCGTTCCCGTTCTTGGGAACGGGGAATGCTATTGCGTTCCCGTTCTTGGGAACGGGGAACGCCATTGCGTTCCCGTTCCTGGGAACGGGGAACGGAACGCAACATACATTCCTTTCACTTTCAATAGAAGCTTTCCGAATTCACCGGAGGAAAGGCAATTTCATAAAAATCATGGATTTTTATAAAGTTTGACCCAAGGTAATCGAGGTTAAGGAATCTAACTCTGCGATCAGTTTCTGAAAATTTTGAGTTTGATCTTTTTGTCAAGGAAAGGGTATTTTCTAAAAATGACGATATTTTATAAAGTTTGAACAAAAGGAATCGGGGTCGAAGAATCCGAATCTTCAGTCGATTTCTCAAAAATTTCGAGTTTGATTTCTCTTGTCAAGGAAAGGGCATGTTTGAAAAATAATAATTTTTTTAAAAGTTTGATTAAAGGTAATCGAGGTCGAGGAATTTGAAGCAGTAATCAGTTTCTTAAAATTCTGAGTTTAATTTTGTTATTAAAAATATCTTTTTTTAGTAAAAATATTGAATTTTTAAAGAAAAAGAAGCTTTTGCGGAAAAAAGATCGGTTTTTG